AATATTTGACATTAAATATATAGTAATTTGTTTATACCCACAAATGAGGCCCCAGTTTATAAATGGGCCCTGGGCCATCGCCCAGCTTGCCCTGGCCCAGGGCCGGCCCTGGGTCAGATGTTAACATAATAGAGACACTACATTGTTAGTCACTTTTAGTCTACTAGTGTGGTATCCGTGCGATGCACGAGCCAGTTTTATTAAGGTAAACAGTTAAATTTGGATGATTGGAAGAATGTAAAATATATATATTGAAATGAAACACAATGTAACGTTATATATTATTAAACACATCATTGTACACAAAATTATTTGTTTGGTCTTTTGTTACATCATCTATCGACACAAATTATATTAAGATTGTAGATAGTCTTAAATAAATCGATTAAATTATTTAGCAGAATATAGACGATATTTTGTAAGTGTATGAAATTATTATTTATTTTGTAAGTGTATTCAATCAATTTCAAATTTGTATTCTAGATAATTAAATAAAACCCAAATTTTTAGGATGTTACAATCCGATTAACATTTTGAATTTCAAATTAATATTATATGACTTTGTTTTATGTTTAAAAAAGTCCGAATTAAAAAAAGTAGTAATCAAATGATAAAAGATTTTTAGTTTTTAATTTGAAATTTGGCCCGATTTTTATGTAATCTGATTTTTTTTTAAAAAAATAAACATGATTTGTTACAATTAGGTAAAGATACGTGTTATAGTGTTTTGTCTAATTCAAAATTTTCGATTGTATGGTAAACATATTTTTTTAATAAAAAATGAAAGAATTTTGACTTTTACAAAATTGTCACGCCGACTATGCAATCCGATTTTTATAATAAATAATTGATTTGTTCAATTAGTAAAAGATATATGTGATAGTATTTTGCCTAATTCAAAATTCTTGATTTTATTTTAATCAGTTTTTTTTAATAAAATAGAGAAAGAAAATTGACTTTTGCATCAGTCGGAATTTACCTAAATTAAATCTACAAAATATATAAATTTAGGGTGCATATTAAAAATAAAAAATAAAATTGTTGTACAATTTCAAGATTAAATCAACCGTAATTAGTTTTAATTAAAATATAATAGTTTCCAAACAAAACACTTTAGTTAGCCAAAAATTTATGGTATGTAATATTGTTTCTTTATGGTAGCATGATTTTTTGAAAGAAAAGTACTACCTCCTTTTTTAAATAAATGTCGTTTTGACTTTTTTGATTCATCCATTTTGCTATGTATCTAGACATATTAATGTCTAGAAACATAGTAAAATGGATGAATCAAAAAAATCAAAACGACATTTATTTAAAAAAGGAGGGAGTATCAAATACCATAATTATAGGGTAGCGTTTAATGCTGACTTTTTTGAAAAAAATAAAAAAAGAAGTTACTAAGTATAGAATGTAATTAATGCTAATTGAGATTTGACCAGAATGTGACCTACTATTTTAAAAAAAATGGTAATTTTTTATATATATATATATATATATATATATTCTTCTAAAATCTTAATGCTAATTGATTATTTAAAGTTCAAGTTACCTTTCAACTATTACTTTATCTCTGCATATTCACAAGCAGTGTTGTAAAAGTCGCTAGGTGCTCGACCAGCGCCTAGCGCCTAGAGCATTTAGGCGGGGCCTAGAAATCAATATTATATACATTATTTTTTATTTATT